GCACTCCACAAAAAAAAACAGAGAAGAAAATACAAGTAGGGGTCAGTACAAGGAACACGTACTGAGTAGGTATCATCGCTCAACTCAAAATAGAAATCAATATATAATGAATAATACAACTACAATACTTAACAGGTGGCAAGCAACAAACACATGAACCTTTGACAACAACAACACCATAATAGGTACACCATCAATCACAACATCAAGCACACCTATGAGGACTCATGTCTCCACACCATACTCATTTGGAAAATAGGTTCCTTGAGATTAAGTATATTAAGTTACTTCGAGATTCTTTGCCTTTCATGTTATTGTGTCGGAACGTGACACTCCGATCCCATAATACCGTGTCGGAACCTGACACTCCGATCCAATTTTTTCATTATTTTATTTCAGCAAGCCTTCTTTATTCAAGACGTCATTTTAATAGGGAGGGTTCAAGATTAGAAATTCAACATTCTCATAATTTTAGGCCAACCACAAACCACACAATCAAAACATACTACCACACAATCAAGTACATAGGATACTTTACAATATCACTCAATACATATCAATCACTATTTATAGTTTATCTATCAAATAGAAATAAACCATAACCTACCTCCACCGAAGAACCGAAGTCAAGAAACTACTTCTCCAATGCTTTTCCTTTCCTCAATGCCTCCGAACCCTTCCAATCTATCAATTATGTGTGCATAATTTATAAGTTAACGAGTCTAGGAATACTCATATTATTCTTTATCTAGTCTAGACCCAAAAGTTCACCTAATTCTATAAATAATTTCATAAATGTTCAAACCTAAGGGTAAATTTAACTTCCCCCATTTAGCATAACTTTAATGGAATTTAAATAATTCAATACACCTAATACTTAGCTACCTATCTCAATATATTAAAAAAAATAGTTTATAAGGTAAGAACACGATATCAATATGTAAAAATGAATGCCAATGGTCACAGAACCAGTGGCTACGGACCAACAGCAACTCAACTATAACATATGCATAGATTAGATTTACAGAACTTAGTGCATCCGATTTCCCACTACTTTAACACCAAATTCTTTAGTATTATAATTATTATTAAAATATATAGTAGTTAAATAAGTATACATATATATATATATCCTTGTTATGCCCACATATAATAACAATTATAATTATAATTATAATAATCTAAGGAACATTAAAATCTTACTATATTATGCAATCCACTACTTACATATCAACGCATATCAACATGCAATTACCAGTACATTACTCTTTCTAATGATTCACTCATAATTGCCCCATCATGTGCTCATTATTATTTTTACTATATTCTTATTATTAACTGGAATGTATGTGTGTCCCTTTGCCTTAATTGCATAACAAATTGCACTAATATGCGCACTTCCATACAACCATAATTAATTAATAACTATTAACTAGGAGGCATAAATTCGTTCCACATACATAACTACTGTAACTTCAATTCTCTCCAATTAATTAAATTATAGTAATATTTAAATCCTCCACCCACCATGCTTTCAATAACCTTTAACAAATATTATATACATATATTTGTTGACAGTAATTCCTAGAGAACCTAATTGATTTGCAATATGCAAGTTAACATATACGATCACCGCCATACATTAACCAATAAAGCATAAGCCTCCCATTAATCAAACAAAGAAAAGAAAAATAAAAAGGTCACCTGAACTCCTCCGTGAATTTGCCTCGACGGTTCGTGCGCCTCCTTTCTATTTTTTTCCTCCTTTCTACAGATCAGTTATCACCCTAATTGTATACCTTAATATTATAATGGGGTAAAAGTGACCCTTTATTATTATTTTTTTATTATTTTTTAAATCACCAACTCTATAAATTATTAAAACTACCCCACTTATTTCATAATTATATTTATAAATATTTCAAAATACCCATTTAAAATCTAGCGGAAAGTATTTATCAAAAAAAATTCTAGTGCTCAAACCGACTAAATGGGTTGTTACGGTTGCTGATTTGATCTTAGGAATAAAAATTCATATAAATCCTCAAGGACTAGCATTATCTCAATCTCATTATATTGAAAGAGTATTGGATAAGTTCAATTACTTGAATTTTGACAACGGCGAGACTCTAATTGATATAAGCTTAACATTTTAAAAGAATGAAGGTGAAAGTGATTCTCAATTGGACTATGTCAGAGTGTTAGGGAGTTCAATTTATTTTATAAATCGTATACAATCAAATATAGCATGTGCCGTTAGCAAATTGAGTAGGTTCACTATAATCCTGTCCAAACTCACTAGATGAAAATGAAATGTGTTAGTGTATCTAAAGTATACACAATACTATGTATTGCATTATAATATATATTATACCATGATTGAAGGATATAATGATGTAAATTGAATCACCGGTTCAAATGATTGTAAAATCCATAAGTGAGTATGTGTTTACCTTTGGTGGAGGAGCAGATTCTTGAAAATCATCTAAATAGACATATATCGCTCGCTTTGCAATAAAATCTGAATTTATTTCCTTATATAAGATAGACGAAGAAGCTGAAAGGCTCAGGAACTTCTTATAGGACATTCCGTTCTGGTCCAAACTTATGGGACTTAAATGCATACATTGTGATAGTCAAGTAGCAATACATAAGGATGTACATCGGGAAACCTTGCAATATTGTAAGACAACTGCTCTTAAGTGAAATTATAACAATTGAATACATAAAGTCATGATATAATGTATCAGATCCATTAACAAAAGACATAGTTAGAGAGACAGCTGATAGATCATACGAAGGAATCACTACAACAAATATGATATATAGCTACGAAATTATTAGCTACAACACAAAATTCGTCACTATTTATTCGCTTTTAGTGACAAAAATTATATTTTGTACTTAAATATATGAGACATATTTTTTAACACAAAAACATAAAACTTCATAATAAAATTTTGTCCACTAAAGTTTCCTACCATAAATTGGATTGGAGCTATTTCTTGAGGACTATTAACCACTAATTTGAAATTATTAGGTGACACGCTATTTTGTCACTAATGATGTTCCCAGTTAGAGATAAACATTTTTTGTCTCTAAATTAGTTAACTTTTTACGAAAATTTTTGTCGCAAAAGGTATATTGATGTATTAGTGACAAATCATTTTTCGTCCTAAAATTAGTTAAACTTTGTAGATGAAAAACTTTTCTCGCAAAAATTTATATCGATACATTAATGACAACTCATTTTTTGTCTTAAAATTAGATAAATTTTTTTGTGGCAAAACATATATTGATATGTTAGTGACAAACCATTTTTGTCTTTAAGTTAGTAAATTTTAGGATATGAATAATTTTGTTGAAAAACATATGTTGATACATTAGCGATGAAGTAGAGATTTTAGTTAATCATCGTAAACTTTAGCCGCAAATTTTTATTATTCAATTATGGCCTTTATTTTCGTCATTAATACGTCGAATGATTAGTGACAATTGTACAATTGTATCTATTCAACCTATATTTGGTTACAAAGAAATCTTGTCACAGAAAAATGTATGTTCAATGGCTACAACCTAACGTTATGCAATGTATTACCCAGTAATTAGGACAAACAAATAAATCAAACAGGAATCTCTCGTACTTGAATAGTGCTATTATTGGATACAGAAAAAAAATCATAGTGCTAAATTATAAGATATTTAATTTAAAAAACATTTTTAACTAACCAATTTTTTTTCTAGAAAAAGATCATACATTACACACCACACAAATAGAATTTTTTGTTCTAAAATATTAGACAATATTGTAGACCAGATAAAAACAACAACACAATAAAAAGGACAAAATATCTTAACACCATTAAGATAGTTTGAATAAAAAAGTGTTTAAATAAAGCTTCCAAAACTATTAAGAGTCTATCGCTCTCCAATTATTAGTTATCCAAAATATTTTTCTTAAACTTTTAATCAAGAATTGATAAAATTCAATGTATAAATCATATTAGATTAAAGTACAAATAAGAACTTCATAAATATGTGATGTTGAAATAAGACCACGTTGCATTTATAAGTTTGTTTAAAAACCTTTGAATATATCATGTTCATTTTTTATTCTGAAAATTTAAGTATTAGAAATGGTACAAAACTACTCTCCATCCACCTATTGGCTCCAAAATATCCTTCTCATCCACATTTAAGATCAAACTTGACCACTTATTTAAAAGTTTTAAATTTAAACTATTTAAATATTTTTTGAAATACGAGGTGCTCAACTATTTGTTATAATTTAACTTAGTAATATAATTTATAAATCAATCAACTACCCACAAAAAAAAATAAAAATCAACTACCCACCCATTACCAATTAAACCCCACTCAATCAATAAATCTGTCCCATTTATATGCAACAACAGGATAGCTACTGCCAATGAGTGTTTCTAAAAATTTGAGGCTAAAGTGTCTATAGAAGTGCATTATCATACATTCAAGTCCTCAATCAAAACATATTATAATTCAAGTGTCTAAATAAAAATTACTGATATACTTAAAAGTCTAAGTATGTTGATATTAATTATTTCCTTTTCTCAATTATGTAATGTTACTCAATAGATAATTTTTTTATAAAATAATGTATTAAAATTTTAGTATTTAAAACAAATCATAAATAATATAAAATTATATTTAAAAAAGTGCATAAATTAATTTGGGATGTACTACTTCTTCACCTTTAATCATAAATTTCAATTACATGCTTGAAATAGAATCCTATTGAAAGTGTCCCCCTAAATAAGTAGCTCAACCTAATTGTGGCTTCAATTTGGACTCGAATAATTTTGAATGACATTTTTAGAAGTCTGTAATTTCGTCGTATTTTAGTAGTGTTTAGGACAATGTTGATATTAGAATAGGTTTACTAGTTGGGTGGGGTTTAATTAGTAATGGGTGGATAGTGAGTTGACTTATAGATGATATTATAAATTAAATTATAACTTATAGTTGAGCGCCAAGTATTTCCCTGCCATAGTTTTTCGCCTGTAACATTAGAGCTCTAATTCACCTCCATTTCAGAAGTAATGGGTGGAGGCAACAGTCAAAAAGCCAAGATGACTCGTGAGAAGAAGATAGACAAGATGAAAGGCGCAAAAGGAAGCCAACTTGACGCGAACAAGAAGGCCATGTATATCCAGTGCAAGGTGTGCATGCAGACAATTATCTGCACAACGTCAGAGGTGAAGTGCAAGGAACATGCCGAGTCCAAACATCCAAAATCTGACCTCGCTACCTGTTTCCCTCATCTAAAAAAATAGAATAAGGTGTCGAACATGTGTTGTAGAAAATGTTACTATCACTAGTCACAAAGTGTCAGATCCAAGCAAGATGTAAAATTGTGTATTTATCTCACACATAAATAGGTCGGGCCAAATTTTTAGTTGTGCACTCTTTTCTTAAATGGTTGATACCATGTGGTATATCTGGATTTGTCAATGAAGTTGTAACGACCTGTTTAGTCGTTTTGAACAGCAGATTTTATTTCTGGAAAAACAAGCTGAGGCGACGGACCCCACGATGAACCGTCATGGGCACGACGGACCGTCGCAGGGTCTCGTTTCAAAACACTTAGAAAATCTGAAATTGGGTACTGAAAATCGACTCTCTGAACTTCGTAACGGAATGGCAGGACGGACCGTCACAGACTCTTCAGAGAAATTGAGTCTCTAAACTCTGTGCCGGACCAGCAGGACGGACCGTCGCAGGCGCGACGGACAGGCTGCGTAAATCCCAGTCTGAGTCGGAATTCCTCAATTGTTTTAAGGGACGTTTTTGACTATTCCTGCTTTAATTATAAAGTTAGTGGGTTAATGTTAACAAGTCTAATTACTTGGGGGTTAAAAGAGGTAACCTTAAGTTAATTAGTAGGTTATTATTGCCATATTTTATTCTTAATTATATACTAATTAGGGTAAAAGAAAGAGGGTTTGGAATAAGAAAATTTGAAAGCACAAGAGAGAGAGAAAACGAACGAACAGGGAGAGCAGAAGAACAAAGCTTTGGGAATTTGCTTGCTTGATTTCTTATCTTCGGTGGAGGTAGGTTATGGTTTCTCTTACGATATTCGTAGTAAACTCTTAATAGAGAATAATATGTATTGATAATATTGTAAACTCTGGTATGTGCTTAATTGTATGCTTGCATGAATGTGATTATATGATTGTGATGAAATAAGCATGATGAAGTTATTGAATCCCAAATCTTGCAAAACCCTAATCTCTTTGTTAATGATGAGGTCTTGGTATAAAAGAAGGCGTGATGAACTAAAATAATGAGATTGATGATGCCTTGGTAAGAAAGAAGGCTTGATGAATTGATAGAAGGAGATTAGGGGCTTGGGTGTCACGAACCGACACGTAGACTTAGGGGATCGGGTGTCACGAACCGACACGTAGATTTAGGGGATCGGGTGTTATGAACCGACACGTAGATTTAGGGGATCGGGTGTCACGAATCGACACGTAGATTTAGGGGATCGGGTGTCACGAACCGACACATAGAATTAGGGGATCGGGTGTCACGAACCGACACGTAGAATTAGGGGATCGGGTGTCACGAACCGACACATAGATTTGGGGGATCGGGTGTCGCGAACCGACACGTAGATTTAGGGGATCAGAGTGTCCCGTTCCGACACATAGTAGTAGGGGATCGGAGTGTCACGTACTGACACAAGAGGATTAATGACTATGAGGGAGCGGAGTGTCACGTACCGACACAAGAGAAATAAAGATAATGAATCTTGAAAGATGTTAATATACTCAATCG